CGCAGCGTTGTCATCGGGGCATTCTAAGTCCCGAAGGCGGTCAACAGGGAGCAATTCAACGCCGCAGAACTCAGTTATCTAAAGCAGTATCCAGGATCTCGTCCATGGTGAAGTTGAACAAGTATGGGGAGGCTGGACAACCCTGTCTGACACTGCTCGTGATACTCAAAGGGGTCAAAATTTCTCTTTATGCTCGCACGTGGCTCGAAGTTTGATGCTAAATAGCACGGAGAATGCTGATGTACTTCTCAGGTACTCCCCTGTTCAGTAAGCAGTCCCAAAGAGCTACTCTGTCAACTGAGTCGAAAGCGGCTCGAACATCCAAGAATATTACTGTAGTTGGTCGCCTGAACGTATGGTAATGTTCAATTATTTGGCGGATCGTAAAGTTGTGATTAACGCAACCGCGACCCGGGCGAAATCCAGCTTGTTCACGCAGGTGCTGTTCCCGTACGTAACTGGAGCCTCTGTAAGAGTAGGGCAGCAAGTAGTTTGGATGCGACACAAATTAGACTGACGCCACGATGGTTGGAGCAAATGGTCCGGTCTCATTTTTAGTAAACAGGTACAACATCCGCTAAGTTCACGTCGGATGGAATGGTTTCAGTAGTCTAAATCAGATGAAACCAAGATGTCAGTTTATGAGTAGGAGCAGGATCTCCATATTTGAAGAGAGTAGGAGGAAGTTCATCTGGGCCAGGTGACTTGTGGCGCTTTAGTAGGCGAAGCTCATTGGAAACCTCAGCCTCTGTTGGTGGAGAAACATTCACGCACCAGGGAGCACTGTGGACACGGGAAAATAGACTCGGTTGCGCTGCTGGCCAGTTGAATTGATCTTCAAAGTGCGCTGCCCATTGTACCAGACGACGGTAACGACTGAATTAGTTCACCGTCACTTTTACGCAAAAACTCACTCACTGTTGGTCTTCTGCTTCGCGTGGAACGAATAAGTTAGAAGTTTGCGGGAGTTTCCTGAGGAGGCTGTACGCTCCATCTCAACGACGCGCTGTGTCCACCAAACCTCGCGATCCTACCTGTGGAGCTGTCTGAGCTCAGCACCTGTGATTCTGCGTAGTGAGATGTACTCAACTCCGGCGGAAATTGTTCGACGACATTCCATTAATTGGAGAGGCTATGTGGAGATCCAGTGACTAACAGCTCGTCTAGTGAAGCCACAGACTAAGGTAGCGGAATTTCTTAAGGCGCTCTGGATCTGTACCCAGTGTGTCTCAACATCGGAGGATAGAGAGCGTAGGTTGAAGGCTTATTTGTTCTGAAATGCGCTTAGAACTTTTGGAGTTGCGAGCTTGTCTGTATCAAGCAGTTTCCGGCGACTCTGTTGGGTGCCTGCAAAGCGCATAACGAACTTAGCGCATGCTCCGAGGTCTGGTAAGTGTTCCATATTGACTTGCAGTCCGTTATGCAGCCTCGCCAACGGTAACTAACAACGATGTGGTCAATTTGCGTCCAAGATTGACCAGGCGCCGGTGGTCGCCAGGTGCCTCGTTGGCACCAGAAACGTCGGAAATTGGTGCTGGTGCTTGGAACAAGCCGTGGTCGGCGTATAGTTACAGGAGTCGATCGCTGTTGTCCGTCCTGCGAGTACCGTAGCTGGGTTGTCCCCTGAGTTCGCGCTCCTGAAGCTCTAGTCTACCGACCTGCGCATTTAGGTCACTGACGAGTATCACGATGTCCGTGCAGCGTTTCTTGTGGCGGTCAGGGAGTTGGCGGTAGAACTCATCTATAACTTCGTCCGGGTTGCAGTCCATTGGAGCATACGCCGCCCACTGGTCCCGTGGTTGGGAGATCGCACTGAGCTTTCCAAGCGGACTGCACAAAGATGACTGTTGACCGCGAACCAGTCAATGAGGGCTGCATCAGCACGCGCGCTTAACGCAATTCCTACGCCGGCGCAACCGGAGGCTGCCGCTGTCGCATCTCCAGATAAGCGCAAGGTGAATGTGCACTTGGAACTTGGGGATGATGAGAGCAATCGCAGCGTTGTGTTGGAGTCTTGTAAACGGTTAGGCAGCAAACGTCGATTGAGAAGGTTTCCAGGGTTCGCGCAAGGGCAACTTGTGAACCAACCTGCATGAGCGATCGAACATTGAACGGAGTTAGCTTGAAGAGCGAGCGGGATACAGTCAAAACCTTGCTGTTGGTATTGGAATGTGTGCGATCGGTTTTCAACGATTCATTGAGGACGCCAAAGGTACCGTTTTTATTTGCAATGCACTTTTGGAGACTCAAAATTGAAGGCGGGTTGCCAAGACCGGCAGGGTTGAATAAAAGGGGAACGAAGAACATGGTTTGCGGTGCGGTAGAGCGTGGTTTAGCATGTCCCGCCGCTAGCACGCCGGCGAAAGAGAGAGAGAGTTCAGAAAGCGCGAGACGTGAGCAGCGACTTGTTAATCCATCATCTCATGTGTTGTGTGGGCATACAGCTTCGCGATTTCCCAGGCCGAGGAAGAGGCTTGACTTAGGGGGCCCCACATCGAGCTTTTGTTCATACGGACCTGACCCGCGAGGCAGCGGGACGAATTCAGGGAATCGCGCCCATTGGGAGCCAGTGACCGATTGTTCGGTTCATACGCCTTTCGTTTGGTTGGCTGTCAAACAGCGGCCCAATACTCCCAGTAATTCATCGTCAATCTGAAGATTTACGATGCTCCAGCGAGGTGAATCAAGGGGCCGTGACTTTATTTAGTGGGGAGTCACATCCGCCACGTCACATTGTTATTAAACGGACATTTGTGGCTTTTTATAGGGAGAAGGCTTGCCAAGCGAAAACTCACTACGTCCCGGAACACTGCCGCCGAACCTCTCACTGGAACGGGATTATCCCCAACCACCCAGCAGGCATCACGAGGAGGTAGTTCGGCAAGCCAGCATATCCAGGATTCGAACCTACGGTTGCATTGTACTCTCTACCCTTCATAGACAGAGTGATGTCATGCTGACGCCATAGGTGGCAAAGATTAGCGCAAGCGCCCCGTGTTTTTGCCATGCGGTTTGAGACCTCGTCTTAAATTCCAACTGCGTTGGTGGACATGTTACAAGTCATCAGCTCCCGCTCCAACTTCCTGATGCACAGCAAGTCGACGTCCATTTCTCTTGTCTACGGAAGGGCTCATCTGGAGTTTTCGGCTCTTCTAAAGTTAGCCATTGGTCGAAACGATTTATATGTCAAGCTGACACATCCTCACAACCGTAGGCACATGGTTGCAGCGTTAGTGAAGTTGGGTCGAAAGTTAAAACATTTGTGAATGACACTTTGCCAGACATGCCCATTATCGCAATTGGTGTTTTCGAGGGCTTGTTGGTAAGTCATTTTCAGTATACCCACCAGCGATTCACTTCGCTCTTTTTTGTGAAGAACTCCATGTCGCTTCTGTGAAGTGTTTTCATTCAGAACGCTCCACCTGGTAACATGCTGCTTAGGTGATCCGGAATCAGTCGAAACTATGCTTCTAATGAGAAGTGGGGATTTGGTATGATTAAACATCGTCCATCACGCTTACTATCAGTCAGCAGCTTTTGACTAATCTGGAAAAGCACCAGACACCGATGTTTCAATCTTTTGGGTCTCGTCAATGATGCGCCTTCCAGCGGCCCCTGTCGGGTTCCGCCCCCATGACTTCCAGATGTCAGCAGCTAGTCCCACTTCGCCATGGGTGACAGCCGCGGACCTGCATGATTGACAGTTGACTGTGAATTAGCCCTGCTCATCTTCTGCTGCCATGCCAGTTACGAAATGTGCAGAGGATAGCAGTTAGTCCCACGAGCTAGGACTTTCCGCATAGAGGCTCGGTACGACGCAATGACTTAGAAGCTACACGGTCAGATTTTATATTACTAATAGGTAGTGGGAATTTGGTATGATTAGATATAGTTCACTCTGGTGCTTTCTCAGACTAGTCAAGGATTGAGAATGGACTGTGAGCAACTATGTTTCTTGGCTGTTCGTGGGTAATGAACCCGGGGTGTTTACAAAAATATCAGGGTTACACCATCGATACTATTTTCCTGGCCGCTGCTCATAAAAATGTTTACGAGTTTGTCGATTTCATAGCCGCCATTCGTGATCATGGTCTGATTAATTTGGTCCTCGTGCAGCTGAAAAGGTGTCTCATGGAAACACAGTAACCGGCCTGACTGTCTCTGACGATCACGGATCTCCGATCCATCCTGCTGCCAAGTATAAATTGTGATGGATACAAGCGTTTCAGTTTAGTCATGGGGCTTAGTAGTTTTGGAGAAATTAACGCATTAATCGCATGGAAATAGACTGCCTTCTCTCGGATTGCAATCGAATCCACTCCCCTTCTTACACACCACGTGATGTATCTAACTGTGACAGGTTTCATGGCAATCAGCTTTTCGGCAAAACTCACTGTCTCAACTATAACTCAGATAGATCTCTGACTTTTTGCGGGTGCATCTGAATCGTCTTCCTTGCAGACCCAAAAGCGCTACGGGACACTGCAACCTGATTGCGCACTTATGCACTTCGTCATTACTCACTATTCTAGCAGCGGACTTGGAATGTTTTGAAACGGCCGGTCCCTACTGAACCGTATGACACTTTGGCCTAATTATGTCGTTGTTCTTTCCAACACTTTTGTTATCATCATGTGCATCACATGTTCCTTGGATTTCGGGATCTTCGGGTAACTGGTTTGTTTTCCACCGAACTTGTTATGTCATTTCGTGTCATCCCAAATGTGGCACGCAGCGCATATCTCAGAATCATTTCTTGTTTAGTTTAGAGTTTCGTGTACTGTTAGCAAACTCCGTTTAACGGCCACTTACAGTTGTCTCCTAAGTTCAGCGGTCAGAACTAAATAGTCACCTTTTTCCGATTATTGCAACTTCATCTAGAAATTTAAGTCTTTAAACAGCGTTACACCCTTATTTGCCATCAACACATTATCTCGACTGTTACTGTGTTTCTATTGCAACTGTGGTCGGTATTGTTTCCTGGTGTTCTACGTTTTTAGCTGGGATCTTCAGTGAAAAAAGTTGAACTGATATCACACGGTTGTTTTGGACAAGTGTGGCACGGCCGTTACAAATCATGTGAATCAATCACCTCTGAAGGTGATGGTGCACTAAAGTCGATGTCTGAACTTGATGTCGCGGTGAAAATATTTCGAACGGTCCAGAAGGAAAGTTGGGAAACGGAAGTTAACTTTTATCGTATTCCGGGAATCTCTCATCCCAACATACTGAAATACTACGGGGCTGATCAGGTTAGTGGTCCATTTGAATTCCTCCTTCTCCTATCTCTTATGCGCCACGCATCGACACACCTTACAACATCTTTACTTTGATTTTAGCTACTTAGCAGTCAGATTTTTAACCACTCACTCTCTTGAAGATCCACCCTCCAAATGAAAGCACTGTCACTCAGCGTGTATCAACTGCTTTCACGTATAGACTGACGGATGCTCTTACTAGATGTTATCCCACCCACCTATCTTGGCCGCTAAACTATGTTTTTCCACTCAGTCTGATTCCGAAATAAGCACTCAACTATTACTCCACTCTCTCGATCGAAGGAAGAATCAGAAGTCCAATGACATTGATAAAATATCCCGTTGGCCGCTGCCGAAGAACCACCGCACAGATGAGACAGACCTTGGTCTTATCTATAGGTCACTTAATGACCGACTTCTAGCATAGGAGCCGGCCCGGGGCCTTAGGACTCACAAGCCTACCTTGTAATCCGAGAGCACGTGTTCGAGCATGCGTAGGTGACCGGACTACCCTCGCAGTGACCGTTGCTCACGCGCGACTACTGGTGGTTGCGCGGCAGCAAGGCATCGGTGCTGCGTACCGGCGTAATGCTGATACCTATGGAAAAGGAAGATCAACTAGCAGGGCCAGCAGGGCCACATCGATCTAGCCATTCTTCTGGAGACTAACAGTCACGTGCAAGCCTTTACGCATCCCAGCAATTTCGAGCTCGATGTGCTTATCAGTAGTAGTTGATTTCTCGTGGAAGAAATAATTCTTCTTCTAGTAAAATACTCACTTTCTTCCGGGCAAGTCAGACGAACTTAAACTTGGCACACTATTCGAGCAAGATCGAAAGTCGATAATTTTCATTCTTCAAAGGGTACCCATATTAAACTTTTAGCCGCGCAATGAACTCACATCAATAGACGTATAGCGTGACTACTATGGGTTGCGTCTGACCGCGAAAAAGCACCATTCACTGGCTTGTAACCACTCCACTTAAATCAGGTTGTCCTTTTCAACCTACTTGCCAACCAGTAAAACCACCTATCGCCTGTCATTATCGCCTTTGTACCGTCAGCGGCTTTCGATAAATATACATATATATATATATATATATATATATATATATATATATATATATATATATATATAGCAGATGGGATGCTACGACGAACGCCACCAATGCAAAGACTTCTTTGACTCCTTGAAGGACCGAGGTTGGAGCCGCGGAGGACGCTACTCGATGGTCGTTCAGGCGGTACTTGCACACAGACTGCAGACATAATGCAGATGTGACGAAATAACTTTGACCGTCTCTTGAACAACCGTTCAGTGATTGACTAGCCTGCATTGAATGGCCTAAGCAGCACGGGGTAGGTGAGTTGGGCAGACAAACTGACAGTGGACGAGACGCAGAGAGCACTTGCCTAGCTGCGAAACGGTAAGTGTGCCAGTGCCGACGGGATCCCCCCTGACGTATTGCAACACGGTGGACCCGCGTTGGTGACTGCTCTGCACCCGTTGGTGCAACGCTTGTAGATTTGAGAGCTGAAGGATGCGCTTGTGATACCACTGTACAAGGGCAAAGGAAGCAAGCAATGTCATGAATTATTATGGCTTCAACTTGCTGAGTTGTGTGGGCAAGGTGATTGCCCGAATCCTGATCACCTCGTCAGTCAGGTTGTGGAACCTAAAGTGGCGGAAGAGCAATGTGGATTCCGTTCGGGTCGCAGCACTATAGGTACGGTGTCTGCGGCTCGTCAGTTGCAGAAGTGTAGAGAACGACACCAGCCGTTGTACTGGCATTTTGTTGACTTCACCAAAGTATTTGATACGGTGAACCGCGAGGCATTGTGGCTGGTGTTGGGTAAGTTTGACTGTCCGAGTAAGTTTGTAAGTTTAATTGAATGTCTGCACAGTGGTATGCAAGCGAGGGTGCAGCTGAGTGGAGAGACCTCGGATGACTTTGCAGTTGTCTCTGGTGTGAAGCAAGGCTGTGTCTTAGCTCCTGCCCTGTTTAATATATATCTTCATGCAATGTTGTCTTGTGCTTTTGATGCCGCTTGTGCTTACGGTGTTCGTGTGGAGCACCGTATTGATGGTGGGTTGCTGAACCTCCGTCGTTTCGGTGCGAGAACTCTAGTCTGTGAGACAACTATCCGTATGTTGCTGTTTGCTGACGACTGTGCGTTGTTTTCACACAGCGCGGATGAGTTGCAGCACATGACTAGTGCTCTGGCTTCGACAGCGGCCAAATTTGGGCTCACAATCAACACAAGCAAAACTGTCTGTCTCTTTCAGCCTTCACCGGAGGTGCAATCTTCAATATTGCCGCGAAGCAGCATTGGTACTGAAGTATTGGAAACTGCCTCCCGCTTCAGCCACCTTGGGAGTGTGGTGTTTACTGACCAGCAGGTGCACAGTGAACTTCGTATTTGCATATCGAAGGCATCGGCGGCATTCGGGAAGCTTGAGTACCGAGTGTGAAACAACCACCTGCTTACTGTTGGCACGAACTTGATGGTGTACAAATCCATAGTGCTGCCCGTTCTTCTATACGGCAGTGAAACGAGTACGATGTACCGGCGGGATGTGCGATATCTCGAGCAGTTCCATCAACAGTCTTTGCGACGGATTCTGCTCATCGGTTGATGCGACAGGGTTGTGGACACGGAAGTGTTGCGCTCAAATGGAATTTATGCAATGGCGTGCATACTTTTGCTGAGACACTTGAGGTGGATCGGTCATATGTGTCGTATGGATTCGACGCGGATACGGAAGCAGCTATTATATGGTTAGCTGAGTCTTGCGAAGCGACATGTGGGGAAACCGAAGCTTAGTTACCAGGACATGATCAAAGTAAGCCTATCACGTTCTAATGTTGATTTCAAATGTTGGGAATTGATTGCGGTTGATCGACGTGCATGGCGCGATCTGATCACGAAGACAGTTGCCGAGGTGCAAGAGAATGCCCTCGTACATGCAGAGAAGAAGCGGCAAGTGCGGAAGCGACAGGCGCCGATGGGGTGTACTCCATGGACGTCGAGTACATGGTGCTGTTGCACATGCAGTCGCAAGTGCATGAGTCAGGCAGGCCTAGTAAGCCACTAACGGGGCCACTGGGGACCAACATCGAAAAGACGACAAGTCCTGCAGTGCACGTAGGCAGAACCGGAGCAGCGTTGATGGGTACGTTGCATCCAATTTACTAACCGCATTCTGAGTCTCCTTATTTCAGGTGGTGGGTTTTTAGATTGTCTTATCGCTTGAATTTTTCCTCATTCTGACCTCTAACTGAATGTGTGTTAGCTGTACGCCGTAACGGCGTTTCACTGCCGTGCGACCACCACCAGTCGCACGCGGGCTGAGGATACCGCGAGGACACCCACTCCTACGCGGATTTGAACCCGCGTCGCAAGATTACGTGATAAGCACGTCACCTTTAGGCTACTGGCCGACGTTTACATGAATACTCTTCCATTAATTTGCACACGCCGCTGGAGCTAATAGTAGTTAACTTCCTTAACACATTCGCGTTTGTGGCATTTTTAACTGATATATTTTATGACATCTTGAACCTAGCGCGAATTTGTTAATAGCCAGTTTATTACGTATGCTCATTTAGGGTGGAGTCATGTCATTTACGCGTGCTTTGTTCTATATATACTATTTGTTATCATCACTCAAAGTAATGGGCTGTTGTTTGGCCTCCCCGGTGTGGCCGGGCTTGATGTGCATGTTGACAAGGTGCCTACGTGTCTATTATCCATCACTTCCAAACTACCTCCAGGTGACAGTTGGTCGTGGTTGTCGTGGACGGGTTCACGATCCTCGTGACCGTGCTAGACTCGAAGTGTAGTTCCATGCACTCAGTATGGAGCGCACTACGGTCCAGCCACCGCCTTGTGTGCGCTTGATTCCCAAATACAGCGTGCTTGTGTTTGCCTGTGCAGGAGTGTGGGCTGGCTCCGTTGATGAAACGTGGCTCCCATCCACATGTCTCCTGGTCTTATTCCCTCGGGTTTACACTGGATATGGGGTGTGTGGATGGAGATGTGGGTGGTGCAGCGCAGGCCATCCATGGCCCCTCTGTAGGTGCAGGCGTCCTGTGGCTGGCCACATTGATAGTCATTTCCGAAACCGGATGCCGCCTAACATTATATATATATATATATATATATATATATATATATATGTTTAAAATGTCAGTTGTAGCGAACGGTCTCGTTTTCAGTGGCTCATCTTTAGGCCATTACGTCACGATATTAGAGTGTTAGACGAAACGCTAATCAAATGCGATGATGGAAGAAATCGAAATTTCTGATCAGTATAGCTAAATGTTTGGTCAACCGAAGTTTAAATCAGGGGGCATAACTTGGTCATCATCGTTAGTCGTGGCGGGTTGCGGCCAAGGTAGCTGAATGGCCTTTAGGAGTTTATTTCGCACACATAGCTCCGGGTTTTTGAGTCTGTTAGCGAATGCTTCTGCTGTAGCCAATTGTCATTCATGCTGATGCGTTCATTTAGGGGGATGGTGATGTAGCACCTACCGGAACTTCCAGTCATGTCTGTCACGCCACGCATCGCAGTCTGCCAATAATTGAATGAACGTCATTGATGGAGCAATATCAAGGTCATTACGCCTGTACCTTATCTGACACACTTTGTTGAGTAGAGTGTCCAGAGCGTGTCTTTCCTTTGTTCTGCTTTCTTTAGTGGGTTCGGCCATAATGATTCAAGACCCTGCTTGCGCATGGGCTTACTGTGCGTGTTGGGATACAACCCACACTACAGATGAGACCTAGTTCTTCGGAAAGTGTGTATAACTTACGTATCCGTCTCGCTCTCTCCGCTAAACAACAGATGAGGTTTTTTTGTCTTACTGCAATTTCCACGCTATCATACAGACAATTTGCGAATCAGACGGCACGAAGATAACCAACCTTCACAGGCGATTGGGTCGCTGGGCAGAGCATTTCGCTCTTCAATTCAACCACCCAACGCAGCCCCATGGGACACCTCCAGCCCCACTGTATGATGCTTGGCCTGACTCCACAGCCCCCCCCCCCAAATGAAACAGAGATTCAAAATGTAATCCAATCATTGAAACGCCACATGGCTCCGGGTGCCGACAGCCTATCACAGGCTCTATTCATAGATGGCGGGAGTGTACTAGTCATCGAAATCCTATCGCTGTTCACGAAAGTTTGGACTGAGGAGAAGGTTCCGAACTCATGGGGAGAATCGATCATTGTTCCGATTTACATAAGGGCTCCCGCGCCGATTGCTGCAACTACCGCAGAATCTCGTTAATCTCTGTCGCATCCAAAATCTTCGTGTCGGTCCTACTTAGCAGGCTTTCAACGAGTAGAGAGGAGTTTTCCCGAGAAGAACAAGCCGGATTTCGTCCAGGCCGCGGCTGCATCGATCAAATCTTCACGCTTCGTCAAGTTCTCGAACTTCGTCACATCCACCGGCGGCCAATAATCGTAGTGTTTTTGGACATCCGAGCGGCATTTGATTCAGTAGATAGATCTGCGTTGTGGAAGTGATTACTGAAGAAAGGTGTGCCCGACAAGTTTGTAACCATCCTAAAAGAACTTTACAGTCACACGTCGGGCAAAGTCAGGGCTTACGGCACGCACTCTTCTTCATTTGCTGGGACCAGCGGTGTTCGCCAAGACTGCCCTACTTTACCTTTCCTCTTCAATTTCGCCATCGAAGATGTTGTCCAAAGAGCACTGGAAGGTGTCCAGAACTGCGGTGTTGAGCTGCTCCCTAGAGACAGAGTCACGGACTTGGACTATGCCGATGATATCGCCTTGCTGGGGACGACCCTCAAAGTGTCCAGAGCGCTTTGGACCGCTTAGGGATAGAGGCGTCTAAGTACGGCTTATGCTTCACTCCGGGAAAATGTAAAACGCGGCTCCATGACTGGTAGGTGTCTGAACCCGCGCTCATCATTGCTAGACATATTCTGGTGCAAGTCCCTTGCTTTACTTATCTAGGGAGTTGCATCACGGTTGGTGGCGGTATTGGAGAAGAAGTCTTACAACGGATTGCAAAGGCCCGCCTTGCATTCATCAACTTGAGACACCTGTGGCGTCGTCGTGACATCAGTCGCAAGCTCAAGAGGAAGAGTGCACAATCCTTCCGTACGTACAATTCTCTTGTACGGCTGTGAGACTTGGCCTATTCGCTCGGAAGACATGAAGCGGCTGTCAGTCTCCAACAATCGCTGTCTACAAAGGATTGCTTTGGTGTGGTGGTAACACCACGTAAGCAAATCACAGGTGCCAGACCGCGTGCTTGGAGCCAATGGTGCTAGTCTTCAGGACGTCATTCCCCGACATCGCATGCGTTGGCTCGGGCACGTTCTGCGCATGCCAGCCCATCGCCTTCCACGTCGAGCGCTATTGGCACTCCCATGGAGCGATTGGAATAATTGGCGCCGTGGACAGCCAATGATGTGGAGAAGGAGCATGAAGAAGGCAACCACAAGTTTGGCGGCAGTTGGATAAGTGCGTCTTCCAGGTTGGGGACCACGAGATGCTGAATCGCAGTGGTTGGAAACATTAGACGTCATGGCCCGCAACAGACATCAGTGGCGTCAATGTTGTGCTGCCCTTATATCCCCCCCTTTAATACACACAGAAACTCACAAAACAAGACAAAAAATTCAAAATGGCGTGTGTGAAACCAAAATAATCGTTTCCCATATTTTTTAATCGCAGTTCGTGCTTCTATCTTCTTCACTATTTTTTCTTTTGCCATGGTTCTGATGGCACAATGTCTGTTAACAGACTGAATAAATATATAAAATATATATCGGAACGAAATCAACGAAATGGATGTACTATCGGTTCCATGTTGCTTTTCCGTAGTTCTGTTAAACTGAACATCTAAAAATCCCATACATTTGTTGCGCTCATGCTCGGTGGCAAACGTTATAATATCATGTGCATCGTTTAAATTGTCTTGCTTAGTCTCAGTGCACGCCTGGCTATCCGTGACACAAAATATGTCGTCTACGTAGCGACCAAGCTTTTTTATGGATTTATTCAGCTGGTTTTTCTCCAGCTTGCTCATAAAGACGTCCGCTTGAATTGGCCCCAATGGCAAACCCATTGTCACCCCATCTATTTGCCGATACATTGTTAAATTGAACTGAATGTTTTCGGTGCATGACAGTAAGAGAGTGACTGTCTCTTCTCACAAATGTTCCACTGGAAGAATCTATAGACTATTTATGTGACCATATCTCGCTATCTCGAATCGACATCGGCATCCTCACAGCACGTTTGAAACAGCTCTTGCTGATATGTACCAAAAACATTCAGTTCTAATTTAACCAAACGATTTTCCGGCAACTAGATGGGGTGGCAATGGGTTCGCCATTGGGGCCACTGATCGTGGACTTCTTTTTGAGTAAGCTAGAGTGCTACTCTAACAGAATCCATATATCCGATTATGCATCTCAGCATCCCGTTGCAATTTATCGTCTTTTTCTGATCCGCCTTTTTTGCACCAATCCTAGTTTTTTTACTCAGTGAGAGACCATTACTGAGCCCATCCTGTGCGCTCACAAGGGAACTAGACAATATTTTTAACAACTCCCCCTTTGCTTCATGTGGTTGTACTTTCCATCAGATTCCGATATTTGCTGCTTTCGTAAACTGTAACGTTATCTTAGTGTATACTCTTATCAATCTCAGGTTGCAATGTCTGAGTTTACACAATTCACATTTCCTATGCTTCCGAGTTATTCTCTCACCTTTTGTACGCTGTTAACGTCACTCTGATAGACGTACAGAGGTCGTCCCATTTGACTGCTGCTTGGATGCTGTCAAGGATTGTTCCTATCCAGAAAATGTTCTCCCTCATTCGCTTGGTTAAGGGCACTCGCATCGGGATCTTTTCGGACAACACGGATACTCAAACTGGTCGCCTATTCGAATTGGGCCATCTCAGATTTCCTTTCGTAATCTATACTTGTCGCATTGACAGTAGCGACTATTTTTTTTAAACTGTTCGCTGATCATCACCTACATTTCCTTGATGCAGCTTTCTGGCACAAGCTTTCGCACCGGATTACGTCGTGGCTACCGATCGACAGACTGCCTTAGTCTCAAGTTGCCTTCATCGCCACCAACCGCTGGCATCACACACCACTGCTTGTTTCCGTGCAGAGGATTGTCTTAATTCGGACCACACCCGTTTTTCTTTGATGTTTGCTCGAATACACCTCGGTACTGGGACCAGTGTCAAGATGAATCGAAACGAAATCTCATCTGGTTGTATTTACTCGTACCCGAGGGAACCTACCATAGATGAGGCTGCCGCTTTATTGTCCAACATTCGCATATTACCACTGGTCACTGCTGTTTGAATATTCGTTCGACCTGAAGTTTATCTGTTTGTATGTGAATGCATATATTCTACCTTGGTTTTGTGCAACCCTAATGCAAAGCCGGTATTCCAAGACCCAACGCTTAGATTCTACACGTTGTTTTTGAAATTTGGCGCCTCGAAAGTGTGGCTCCACTCGATCCATACCGCCGTACTTGTTACCTAGTCCTAAAGCTTATCCGCCCCAACTAATTTGTATGCCAATGTTGGATCGCGTGTGACCATGGTGTCTTGTTGTCAGCGAGAGTAAAATCTCCCAGAAAAACTCATCGATTCATTGCAAAACGAAGCTGAGCCAATGATGTATACTCGGAACATCAAGTGGTTTCAGGATTGTTCGTGTCCACACGACGCGCGCAGCAACCTTCCCATTGGCTAGCGGAACTGATCTACCAATTAGGACAGATGACCTAGCTGTTCTGATACATGAATCTTCACAGGTTGGCTTATAAACATGTCCGTTGCTTTCCCATTACTTGTATCCTTTTCGGTTGCTGGTTCCGCAACACGCTTTTGCGTCCAGGCGTTGTCTTCTGATTTCCGGCAAGGGATTCAGAGTTAGCAGAGAACGAGTTTAGTTCAGCCGGAATCGCGCAGTCAGAGATTTATCATAACCCTTGTATCCGCGTTCATCGAATCTTCCAACAACGTACCTTCATACATCGATGTTAACCTATTTCTCCATCAATTTTTCTACGACTAACTCATTTTGGCTAGTACCTTACTTTTGAAACTTCAGTGGCTATCCGTGTCATTTGGTTTTGTTGCCGTCTGTTCTGCTATTTCCATCGGTTTTTCCGTCCCATCGCTGTTCATCTCTACTGTGTTTCGGGACCCGACAGTAAGGTGTTGCAACCGTTACACAACCGCTGTAGTCCAGTAAACACTAACTTTGACATATATTCCACTGCATGGCTTCCATCATATCGAAAATTTTCCCCTTGCATTGAATTCCTTCTAGTTCGCCTATCTCTTAGCTATCCGCGTGGCTCGATTTAGAGACCGAAAGTTCATAGTTATCTACTGACTTTCACCATTCTGGATCATATTCGTTTCTAGGTTGTGAATAATGAATCGGAGCCTCCCGAGTTGGAGTTCTGGCTCGTAACCGAATATCATGAGCTGGGGAGCTTGCATGATTTCTTCGTCTCCCATACCCTCAGTTGGACAGATCTTCTGCGACTAGCCATTGGAATCGCGCGTGGCTTGTCTCATCTACACTCGGAACAAAACAGTCCGAATGTGGTTGCTGGGCACCACCTGAAACCAAGCGTGGCTCATCGTGATCTCAATTCGCGCAACATTCTGCTGAAGAACGATTTAACTGCATGCATAGCGGATTTCGGCTTAGCCATTCGTTTCGAGCCTGATTTCTTCCCATCCACTGCGCATCCTCAGGTAATTTATGGAGTTGTGGTACACGCACATCTGATTTCGACTGTCTAGCTAGGGTTTTTCTCATTCCATCTATCAGTTGTTTTACAGTATAGTTGATCAATAGCGGTGTGGCCTTTATGTTTAGCTTATAGTTCACTGGTTCTATGCTGCGCTGGTATGGGCAGTCTTCCAGTATCTCAGCCGGTGGCCTAGTGGTCTGCACGTTTGTTTTGCAACCATAAGGTCACCGGTTCGAATCCGCGTAGGGGTGGGCGTCCTCGCGGTATACTCAGCCCGCGCGCGACTGGTGGTGGTCGCGTGGCAGCGAAGCGCCGTTACGGCGTACAACTGACACATTATTATTATTATTATTATTATTATTATTATTATTATTATTATCTCAGTCCGCTTGCAATCGCTGGTTGTTGCGTGACAACGAAGCGTCAGTACGATGTTCTACCCTAGTGTCGATATCCTATCATTTTCTGTTTTTAAGTTCATTGCACTTCCTGTTCTTTGTCTCATTTATTTCCCCAAACTTGTTTTCTTTAACTACTTTCCTTCGCTTCTATCGCCTTTTTCTGTAGTTCGTTGCACTGAACTGTTGTCGCTGTATGTTTTTCATTCTCGACACTGGGTCACGTGAGAAGACTACAGACAGCATATCATTTCTATCTTACATATAATCATGCTTACTACCCGATAACGAGAGCACATGCTCCACTGTTATTGTTTGGCAGTGTTCATTTGTTGCCTATGTTTGCGCCCACCACCCAGGGCACAACTAGCCCAGTTAATATCTACCATCTAAGAATGAGGCCTGTTACTGCAGCACACCATGCTTTTTTGCAGGATAAACTATGCCGACAACTCCCGGTTAACCTGTTTTGTCAGTGCTTCCTTCTGGTTCCATTTTGTATACTATCGCCATCATCATTTTCTCATACTTGCTCTCTCTCTCTCCTAGCTTGGAACTCGTAGATATATGGCACCGGAGGTTTTGGACGGTGCAATTCAGTTTACACGGGACGCATACCTCCGCATCGATGTATATGCTATGGGTCTGGTGTTTTGGGAGTTAATGTCCCGTTGCTACGGTGACGAAAATAGTCCCTTGGAAATTACTTCACCCTACCGCGCTCCATTTGAATCGGAACTTGGCGCCGCCCCCACGATTGAGGAACTTCGCCACTTTATAGTTTATGAAAAGCGGCGACCGAAGTTCGAATCGGCTTGGGATTGTTATCCCGTAAGTGTGAGACCGTCGTTTATTACTTTGCACTTTTCTCTGTCACGTTCATATTCTTTTACTTACATTAACTTTTCATTGTTTTAGTCCATGCGTGCTTTGTGGGAGACCGTGGAAGAATGCTGGGATCAGGATGCCGAAGCGCGTCTCTCAGCTGGCTGTGTTACTGAACGCTTGACTTCCCTATCTCACCAGCCCTGGTCTGGTTTCCAGCCACTCGATAGGTGCATGCTATCATCCATGCCTTTTGGTTCTGGCGTCTCGCCACTGCATCCTCTATACGAGCTTATCCACTCCCCCACCTTGGTTCCCACTCGCACAGCTCCCACGATCCACAGCCCATCCAGAGCGGTTCCCGGTGGCACCGTATTCTTTCCCGTTCCTTCTACCTCTGTTCCGGCGATGTCATCACCCACGGGACTGTCGTTGGCTACCTCACTTCCTGTACCCTACTGTGCACATGAACTCCCAAAATCAGCTGCCTGTCCTCCCTCGTCCTCATCGATCTCTTCCGTCCACCCGTGATATATCTTCATTCCTGAGCTCATCTAACTTCACACAAACCTATCGCATCAACCTGTTCACTCATTTTCGCAACTAATCGCTGAAATGGGGCTTCCTCATTTTTTCCTTGCCCAATGCAAGTAAGCGGTCGGCACCTTTTCCACTTCGTGCAACTTGCGCTGCGGCCAACAACCCACTCCTCTGGAATCTGCGAACAGTCTTGTTCCTTCAAGTCTGCGTTTCGCATATTGTACCTGTGATGCATTTCACTTTTCATTTTCCTCTAATTGTCTTCTCCCTGTCAATTGCAAAAATGCAGGTTACTCTGAATCATGAAAACCTTCCTCCGGCTATTTAAGCCAAATGCAATTATTCTCATGTATATTTTGTATAAACCGTTTAATCCTGCCAATTGTTTTCCCGCAATTACCGTTTTAATCTCATTAGCTGCTATCGCGTCTCAAAAATTCTACGAATCCTATCAAGCCTCATCTTGCAGACTACTATCTCTGCACCTTCCTTTACTTCCTCAATTTCGTTCCCACGCATATCACCGTTTTTCGCTCCATCGATTGATTTGACACCACCTCGCATTATATTCTTTCCCGGATCCTATCTTTAACTTCTTCAGTTTTCTCTATTTGGTCAATTGTAGAAATATGTCTGTAGTCCCCGTTGCCTCAGTTGAAATATCCCACCTATGCTTCAGAATTCTTGTCACACGTTAGTAGATCACAGTGTCTTACACTTCGTTGTTCCTGTCGGATTACGTTTCACTGTAGGGCAGCTTTCACACGAGACTCCATCCGCACTTAGAAAACCCACTCGTTCTACCGATATTTTTCCTCACACACATTCATCATATTTACAGTTATATACCAGAAACTATAGTAGACATGGATCCACCTGTCTGCATTCGACGGGTTAAGCACATATGATCACATTTCCAGGTTTTCCTTTTTCCTGTGAACAGCAACCTCGGCATCTGTGGTGTCCAAACATTCTCACAACAATCACTGCGATTCTTACATATTTTGCTCTCGTTTCGGTTTTGTAATGGATCTGTAGGCAACGCATTTGTTGTCGTGTTGCCTTTGGGAAATCTGAATATAAGCTTTGCTGGGATAGACTTTTTTTAACCTGCATGAACTAATATCGCTTCATCATCGTGATTTATTCTCCCTCGCTTAGCCTCTCTATGCGTCCGCCGTCATTTTAAATTTATTTCGGACTACTACTTTTTTTCTTTTTACCGAGTCAGGTCTCTTCTTTCTTTTGTGGGTTACATCCCCCACTTCATATTCTGCCAACACCTACAGTTATATCAGAATATGCTGACCGGCTAACACGTTAGCAATCTTGGTGGTCTAAGTATTCGCTAAGCTCGGTAGTTTGGCTGCAAACGTTTCGTCACCACGCGAGGTGACATCGTCAGGGCGCAATAGAAAGCGTCAGTGAGTGTGAGTGATCGAAGGAAGGAATGGAACTTACAACACGGATCAACGAACAAAAGTATGGCCATACGGCGACACGACCCGCATTCACTGGTTTCCATACATGAAGACCACCATTGCAACCTAGAGCACGTAAAGATCCTAGCCCACTTAAATTCGAGATTAGCTAGAGAGTTCTTGGAAGCACAGTATTCTACAGACAATTCAATAAACCGACGCGTTGAAATAGATGCTATATATGCAGCGCTACGGATAAAAGATCGCCTAATTATTGGACTAAATCTAACGGGACAGAACGTCGGACAAATGCGTCAAACGATGATGACAACCGAAGCGGCACGCACACGTACGCTACGAGGCAAGAATCAGGGATCAATTTCGATGGTCATGTACCCGTCGAATGATCCAAACTCAGACTGACGGCTCGCCGATCGATTATTTGCACTCACTGACGCTTCCTACCGCGCGCCGCTCTGCTATATAAAAGCGCACTGATGATGTCATCTCAGGTGGTGACGAAACGTTTGCAGCCAAACTGCCGAGCTCAGCGAACACTCATACTACCAACTGAACAACCTGGGCTACCACCATTTGGTTCTATATCACGTTGGCAATGTCTCAATTTTCGTTCCTATTCGCGAGCGACGCACCTTACACATTATTTTTGAGGCTCATTTTTCAATCACTGTATAAATAAATAAATATATATATATATATATATATGGCAGGAGAGTACATGTTTGCTGAGGTTTCTAGTGACTCGACCGTGACAGATCATCGACCCGTTGCTACTAATGTCGTGCCGCGAACTCATGTACTCGACACCTCATGGCGACCGCTGGGTAACAGTTGGATTACATCCAATACAATGAACCTTTCCTACAACAATTTCTTGATGCTCTGGCCGTCGCAGAGGATAATAAACGGCGCCCTATCTGCTGCATCGAGCAGGGTGGATAGGGGTTTGGATGCTACTGCTCAGGCCTTCCCGTCTTCTTATACCCCTTCTTGCGCTTCTGCATCCTTATTGTCCCGCTCCAACTTTACTTATATCCCCCCCATTTTCAATCCCCCAATTCTTGGCCCTCCCCCAGCTTACTTTAATAGTCGCTTGTCTTCTAATTTCAAATCACACACAATCGCAGGGCCTCGCTCCAATCCAGTCGATAAGTCCATATTCAACCAAGCGGACAACGTCAGTTCATCCGTTTCCCTTTGGAGTCCTCGTGTCTCGCTAAGATTGGCATGCCTCAACGTGCGCACCTTGCTGCAGATTGGCCAACAGGCAGCACTTGCCCGCACACTAGAGACCCTATCGATCGATATTTGCTGTTTATCAGAAACCCGCCTGCAAGATTCGAGCTCCGTGCTTACCCTGAGACCCCCCACATGCGACACTGGCGGCACATTCTCATTGCGCCTATCTGGCGATGATGCAGCTTCAAATGCCGGTCAAGCCGGCGTCGGCATTGTTTTGAGTCCCCGGGCTGAAGCTGCCCTGCTTGATTGGATCCCAGTAAACAGTAGGATGTGCGCCGTTAGATTAGCTGGTTCGTTCCGTGCTTCGAAGTCGCGCGGGGACAAACGGTGCCTGTTTGTCATTGCGGCCTACGCCCCTACAAACTGTAGCACTGATTCGGTAAAAGATGATTTCTACCAGAAACTTCACGAGCTCCTTCGTTACAGAAGAAGCACGGATACTGTGGTGCTGGCTGGCGATCTAAACGCCCAAGTCGGAAAATTGTCCTCTGATGAGCTTCATCTGGGCGGCCAACATGGTGTAGGCTCCCGTAATGATAATGGTGAGCGATTGCTCCAGCTGTGTGAAGATGCTCGCCTGTTTCTCGCGAGCACTAATTTTCGACACAGCACCCGCAGAAGTGTGACTTGGCGGCCACCAGCCTCGGGCCAGTCATGGACGCAAATCGATCATATCGCGATCAGTTACCGCTGGAGAGGCTGTGTCCAAAACTGTCGCTCGATTTGGAGCACGAGCGTGGACTCTGACCACGCACTTGTCTGTGCCGACCTCCTGATGCGCTTCGGTGGACGTCCGCAACGTCGATGTGAACGGATTGACACTAGCCAGCTGGCGAAGCCAGATGTTCTGAATGTGTACCAAGATGCGCTGACATCTGGGCTGAGTAAGCGCCCACTAAACACCGTTGAAGATCACTGGTCGCACACTCGTCAAGCGTTTCTATTAGCAGGCATGTCTTCATGTAGCAAAACAAATTGCCAAACCGGACATTGGGTCTCTACACAGTCTCTGGAACTTATGGATGCTCGCCGACGTATTCCGGCTGGAAGCGAATACAATGAATCTCGCAAAAATCTCAGGGCGAAACTACGTGCTAGCCTAAAGAAGGACCGCGAAACCTGGTGGTCTCATCGTGCATCTGAGATGGAAACAGCCGCTGCCATTGGTAATCATCGTAAGTTATACCGTCTGATACGGGCAACAGGCAGCAGGAGACCTGGTGTTAGCGAGACCATACGCGACGAGAGTGGGCAGATTATCCACAGCCTGTCAAAACGCTTGGAGCGTTGGGCTGAACACTTTGCTATGCAATTTAACCAACCTGAGTTATCACTTTCTTCGGGCATTGAATGCCCTTCTCCTTGGGCCGTCTCCTTGGATCCGCCCTCACGCGCTGAAGTCGAACGTGAGATCAGGCTGTTGAAATTGCATAAGGCCGCAGGAGCAGATACTATTCCTCCAGCCCTCTTCAAGTTCGGTGGACCTGCTCTAATAGGTGATCTACACGAGTTGCTAGTAAAACTTTGGGAGCAGGAGACAGTCCCGACAGACTGGAACCGCTCCGTCATTGTCCCAATTTTCAAGGGAGGCTCCCGTTTGGTATGTGGCAATCATAGAGGGATCAGTCTGATTTCGATTGCCTCTAAATTGCTTGCCTCTCTCATTCTCCACAGACTGACTGGCACTCGTGAAAGCCAAATTCGTGAAGAGCAAGCCGGATTTCGTCGAGGTCGGGGCTGCATCGACCACATCTTCACATTGCGTCAAGTGTTGGAGCACCGCCATGTTTATTGGCGACCCACCGTTGTCGTGTTTCTTGACATAAAAGGTGCCTTCGACTCAGTCGATCGATATGCCCTTTGGGACTGTCTGTTGAGGAAAGGTGTGCCTGATAAATATGTAAACATTATCAAAGCGCTGTACGCACATAGTTCGGGCAGGGTGAGGGTTTATGGCAAACTCTCGCCACCCTTCAGTATCACCAGCGGTGTGAGACAAGGATGCCCGCTGTCACCTTTCCTCTTCAACTTCGCTATTGATGAAGTCATGGAAACAGCGTTCGCTGGACACGACCTAGAAGGTGTGGAGCTACTCCCTGGTGAGCGACTTCTTGACTTGGAGTATGCAGACGATATTGCCCTAATCTGTGACGGCTCCCAAACATGCCAAACAGCACTGAACCGATTAGCACTGGCTGTCAGTCGTTTTGGGCTATGCTTTGCTCCATCAAAATGCAAAGTACTTCTCCAAGATTGGCAGGGACCCAATCCTGCGCTAACGCTTGGTGGTGATCTGCTAGAAGTCGT